AGAAATTATGAAAAACTAACAACATTTTTTACTTCTTTTTATAAATACTTGTTACAAAACAAAATCCTTGCATTTGCCTTGATAAAGTCCAATGGAGGATGAAATGCATTAGCTAATAAAAGTTTTCCTTTTGTCATCAGATCAAATGGTGGTTTCTTTTGCAAAGGTGTGCTACAAATTCAATTCCTTTTTGAATGCCTATTTTCATCATTAGAATTTCTCAAATATGCAGGTCATAGACATAAAGTAAAAATAAAATTGGAGCATCTGTTTTAAATATGATGATATAGTAAGTTAACTTTACAAAAAAAAAAAATTTAATTTCCAAATGACATATTTAAAATTTTTTTCTTTTTTTGTGAATTTACAAAATGAGTTTTCATTTTAACGAATAAAGTTTAAAAAAAAAAATAAATCACCTTAATTCTTATAAGTTTTCCAGAGGCATTTTGCTTCTTTCTTTTTTTGTAAGTAAATTTATCTATGAGTAAGGACAAAAGGAGAACTTACCTTTATCAAATCCATCAGAGGTCAAAAAACAACGACTAAGATAAGTTTTATTTTTGTCTTTTTTCATGTTTTTAGTTATATCTGAATTTTTGCACATTTATATACCTAGTATTATATACACACCCGACACTCGGACATTTTATTGAAAAAACTGTTTAAAATAAATAACTCCAGATAATGTATCAAGTTCCAGTCATTATTTGTTTATTTATCAGTGAGGCAATAAAAAAAATGGTGACATTGAGTGTAATTCTAAAAAAAATATCATTTAACCATTTAGCATTTCAACTGACCCCATAAGTATTGGCTCTCAAAGTTCAACTTGCCATAAACTATGCCAATTCTACTTTGCCATAATATGACATCATTGCAAATAATGCAGGAAGCCACATAAACCATGAGGTTTTGACTGCAAATAGTGAGACTTTCAGAGCTGATATTTACAGGGTGGGTTTAAGCATGTTCAATGCTAAAGTGTTAAATATTTAATAACAAGGGGGGGTGTAATTAATTTTGTCATTATGTTAGTGATTGTTTCCCTGTTTAAAACCCATAAAAGAAAGTGATTTTTGTGTCAAATGCACTTAAAATGAAGTTAAATTGAAGAAATTCAGTAAAATATAAAAAAAAGTAGGTTTTCATGAAGGCATGCTACGCACACAATAAGAAAAGAATGGAAAAGTAAAGAAATGTTAATTTGAAAATGATTAATTTGTAGCAATGGTTGACTATTTTCATAATGATGTTCTTTTTTTCTTCATTTAAAAAAAAAACTGTTTTAGTAAATAATGTGTCATTAGATATTAATCTAAAATTCTCTGAATTTTACTCTCAAACACACACACACACACCTTTTGATTCACTTATTTTTTCATCAAATTTTTCTTTTTGTATTTTAAAAAAATTAAAATAAGGTGTACCTCTAGTTTGTATATAAGTATGTGACAATTGTTTCATTAGTTGAATGACCGATATGATAATTTATAGAGCCTACCCCATGACTTTATGCATGAGTATACAGGGTCTGATAAACCCAACTGGCCCAGCCCAACAGCTTTAGATGCCTTGCTGGATGGCTTTCCTTACGATATGAATGGTTATCTTGTTGCATACCACCCCCTCAAGTCTGATATTATTTTTATCCTCCCACATCTTTGCTTTTTTTTTTTTTTTTTTTATTTGATTAGATTTTTTTATTTTAGTCATAGCTGATATTTTCCAGGAAAAAAAAATTGTTTTAAATATTAGCATCTTTTACTGACAAATCAGTAATTTTGACTGATTCTTTTCATCTGCTTCTAGTTTTATTTATTTCATCTAAATCTGTAAGTAAAAAATTGGGTAAAATGATCGGGTAGACTGGGATTGCTAGGTCAATCAGCCTTGGTGACAGACACCTCTGAATTAAGAACAGTGCAGAATGTAATGAGAGACTACTCCACTATCTTTCCTTTCATACAACTGGGGTCCCTATTATAAAAAAAAAAATTTACTGTCAAACATATAGTCATTGGCCACCCCTACATACCTTGGATGAATGTCAAAGACATTCAATGAATAGACTAAATCTGTGCTTTATTATACAAATATTAAACACCATTAGACGCCTTGTAAATGAACCTTAATTCTTTTGTAACTTCACACTGTTTGAAATTTTGTTCATTCATGGATATGTTTATCTTTACACTTAATCCAAGTGAATGCAGGTGAAACTCTACCCTTCTCCTTGTTGACCAAATTTTCAAAAGACAGAGGATAACCTCTAAACCTTATTCATTAAATGCTCTTTGCCATGCTGATTTTTGATAAAAGCCTTTGTCCTTATCATTTATTTTCATATTTTTGCATAGCAGAACATTATACCAAAGGCTTGAATGTAACTGATTCAGTGAAGCATAAAATTTTTTACTGAGGAAAAAATCTCTACAGTCAGAACAATTTTCAGTTAAATTCTATTTTGTAGAAATTGGCAAATTATTCTTAATATGCATATATTACAATTTTGTTAGAACGATTTGTAGAGTTGGCAATAATAGTTAATTGCTTGATATCTGCTTCAAGAAAGAGTAGACGTTAGTTTTATTGGTCTTTCAAAATTTAATTAACAAAAAAGTTCAATTTAAATTTAATATTCACAACAGTTTGATGTGTTTATATTATTCTAAAAAAAAAAAAAGCAAGAAAACAAACTTGATGATTTTATTATTTTGCAACCTGTTGCGGGTGAGTGGGGTGCTGGTGACCTAATTTGGGAAAACAGGGTAGTGAATTTTTACCCTGACAAAATGCCAAAATTATGTGAAATATATGAATAAAGAATTTAAGTTGTCATAAAACTGTTATTGAAAAAGTATTATTTTTGACTCAAGAAAAACTATCAATAAAATTTTACTAAAATGTGGGTTGATATGATATACTTTTTATACGAATGGGTATCAATTGAGAAATGAAATAGACGACGAGGATGGAAGCAATGACAGTCTAGTCAGTGGGGCTCAGATTCAAGTGGTGGAAATCAAAGATATGGGACAAAAAGGTCTTACTTTTTTTTTTAGGATATAGAGACACAATCTATAACCACACAGGCTTCACCCCGAGCCATGACAACCAGATCACATTAATCTACAACACTGCCCCCTCCCCCAGAGAAACAGTTTTCCTGGAATAAGATGACAAGTTGCTGTTAAAGGATCTTTCATTGTTTCCAAACCCATGTTGTATTTTCTTTTTTTATTTTTGGGGTTTGATCCACAAAACAGAATAAATGGTCATAATATCAATGCCAAGGGATCTTGAGAAGGCACAACACAATGTCTTGAATTGGAGCTGTGAGAACCTCAATTGAATGTTCTAACTAAGCTCTAATTAGCTGAAAAAATGCACTGCAACCAGAGGTATTAAAGAATCATTAAAATGAATGCACTAATTAAAAGAATATATATAATAACTGATTTAAAATGTTTTTTTTCGCTACACAGTAATAATCATGTTTCAAATTATTCGCTTGAAGATGAAATGGAACTAATGCTTTTAATTTAATTATATAATTGAATTTGAAGTTTTTAGCTTCAGTTTTTTTTTTGGTTATTACTGTATAGCGAAAAAAAACATATATTAAATCAGTTAATTTATGATATTTATGCTCTGTAAATTTATATTGAGCACTGTTTTGTAAAAATAAAAAATATCAATAAGAACACCGGATTATATATCTTACTGTTCTTTCTTTTTATTTATACATATATATAATCAAACTCCCACCTCATGAGACGTCTAAAAAAGGTTTTTCCCTTTTTTGATGTTGAAACAAAAATGTACAATTTTGTAGTGGATATGTGCATGTTCTAATGTAACACTGCATAAGATATATATATATATATATATATAAATTAATACAAACATAACATTTTTCACTTAGTTAATTGATGTTATATTCAGCACTGTAACTCTGAAGTTTTATAAATGAACTCTTTTGTAATTGTCCAGTCCACTTGTCAGAAGGTTTCGACAGAATCATTTATCTCTCTCTTGACACATCCAGCCTGGGCATGACAATAAACTGCGCCTCACAGTGGGGCCTCTGGTTGGGAGGTTTTGAGGAGTGTGGAACCACCTATTGGTTGCTGGTGTTCCTGGGTCCACCCTGGCCCTGGGTGGTAGCACCTGTTGGAGTCCCAACTATGGGCAAGTAGTTGACCCTCACAGTGGGGTTGGAGTTCTATGAAAGTGTAAAAATAGGTTTTAGTATCAGAAATGCTTTTTTGTGAAAAAATTACTACCAGAAATACATTATTATCAGCAATACATTTTTGAAAAAAAATATTACCAGCAATAGATTTTTGAATAGAAAAAATATTACCAGCAATAAAAAATTTTGTCGGCATTAAATAACCCATTGAGCTTGATATGCTGTAAAACAAAACAAACAAATCTTGACACATATCGCATATTGAGTGCTAAGAGTAATAAAACAGTGTAATAATGGAGCTAGAATTTATACTAATAATGAATATACATTTTGTTATTCACTGGTAGACCAATGGTGCACTCATGAGGTGCTTATATATATATATATATATATATATATATATATATATATATATATATATATATAATTGATTTGCAACTGAATAATAATATAATGTTTCTGCGTTGAATTGGAAAAAAAAATCAATTTCCAAGGGCGTTGAAATAGTGCATTTTAATCAGAGCTATTGACTTAAAGAACATTTAAAACATTCATTAAAGAAGTCAGGAAAAAAACTGACAAGTAATACACAATTGAATGATAATATTGTGGGATTTACACCTGCACAAAACTGGGAAAAAAACAAAAAAAAAAAAACGATTTTTTTTTCCCAAGGGATTTTCTAATTTTTTAATTATTAAATCTTAATCATAACATGTTGTTCCTTATTTATATATAAGTAAAGAAAAGTAGTGTGAGGAAAAAAAAAAACTCTCCTTTTGTACATAATCTACTAATGCAGTGTATTATTGCGAGGGAGCAAATTCAATGATCTTGTTTTTTCTTCTATTTTTTCCTCTTTCTCCTTCTTCTCTCTCTCTCTCTCCCTATTTTTTCTTTCTCTCTCTTCTCAACCTCTCTCTCTTCTCTTTTCCAGTCTCCTTTTCTTTTTCATCATAATTCTTTCCTTCAGGTGTGATCCACTGAGTTGTCTAGTTTTGAAATAAAATTCAATAAATAATTAAGCAAAATCTACTTTAACACAATGCTTGACTGATGTCTATTGTTTAAATAATATTAGTTTGAAAATTTCCCGTAGAAGAAAAGTTCCAATTAGAAATTCCTTAGGAATCTTTCTGACCATCTTGCCAGACTTCTGGGATCAAATCCACTAATCACAAACTATAGATGAGATATCAGAAAATTTAACTTGCAATTTCACTTGATGCCATTTGCAGAGAAAAAAAAGATTAGATCAATAAATATGTGAAATGTTTTGTATCTAACCTGTCTGATCAAAATAACTGTGCCTTATGGAATGTTGTTTCAGTGCCTTGGTTTAGTGTGTGCATGCATGAAAGTACTCTCTACTAAAATACTAACCAGAATTTTCTTATTGTCTTCGTCTTTGAAGAAGAGAATATTTGCATTCTTTTTCATTTGCTTTGAACAACAAACTTTTGGTTTAGTTTATAGCAATGTCATTTGAATATGATTTTTTTTTAATTGCAGCAAGATACTAATTATTTACTAAGTTATACTAATTAAGTGTAATTTTGATAGTTCATTACTAGGTTAATCTTCGTCTGATACAAGGTCAATTTATGAATTGACAATTATTACAGTTTGGTATTTTTTAAAAGAAGTTTTTAATCATTTCACTCCAAGCAAGGCAATAAAGCCACCAAGACACAAAAAGTTATTGAGTGTGAAAGAATAAGAAAAGAAAAACATTATTAAGGAATAGGAACAATAAAAGAAAAGAAATCAAGAAGGTAGCAGATAATGATTGACATTGCATTTAAATTTTTGAAGTTCAAAGTTGTCTGGAAAGCAAGAAGTCGGAAGAGAGTTCCACATATGACAAGTGCAAGAAAGGATGGATCTGTCATGCCTTACACTGTTCGATGTAATCTGTCCGAGCACTTTCCATGGAAGTAGTTCCATGGAAAGTGCTTGGACAGATTACATTCCTACTACTGGTTCTACCAGTTCTAACTTACACAGCTAGGACCCGGCATGCCACTCACATTGTAGCAAACTACTCACGTTTACTCCGTATTCAATCAAACAGCTTCTTCTCATGAACCACTGTTCTGTTGAACCGACTCCAGAGAGGCTGTTTCCCTGATCACTACAGTCTTAACCTGTTCAAGTCTGGGGTTAATGATTATCTTTCTCTCCTATCAGCATAAATTTAAATTGCCTCTTAATGTAACCCACTACCTCGAGTGGTTCTCGAGCCTTGTACAGGGGGAACGTTACTATAAAAAAAAAAAAAAAACTGTTAGCAAAGAACTAGCCAATTCAATTGTAAAATGATCAGACCGTATTGCCTATTGAGTATTGTGCTTAAATTTATAAAGTCTAAGTACCATAGAGATAACTAATATTTATTTTAATAATACAAAAATGTGGTACAAGGCCAAAAGGCGAGGATAGGGAAAGACTGGTCTTCAGCCTTACAACAAAACAGAACATTCTTACTTACCATTCTTACTACAGCAACCATAATACCTCAGAGTCTCTGTGTAGTCCTAACTAGTTCCCATATGTATCATAGAGGAAAGTTCATTAGAGCAATTACTATGAAAGTATTTATAGTAAAGGCACAGAGAAGCGACATTATGGTGGTGCGAAAGTGAATGAAGCTGATTCAGTTTTCTTTAATTGTTTCTCTCTTAAACTTGTTTTTGGTAATTTTGATTTTCTTGTTTTTCTTTAGATTTTTACTAAGTGCAGTCTAATGTGGTACATGTATACAATAGGAAATTATTTTATGAGAATTGAACTTACGGGTATCCAGCTTGCTGACCATTTCCCTACAGCAAATATCCTCTTGACTGTTTCTATGATTTAACAAGGTGATTTTGTATCTTAATAAAAAAAATTGTTAGATATCTTCATTGTAAACAGCAATGGTACAGAGAGATTATGTAACATTTTGGCAAATCCATTTTTCCACCTTGAAGACAGGATCAGCCGGAACCTTGTGCAAAGAACAATAAATATACAAAGAAGAGATTTGAGCATCTGTGACTTCTCTAAGTGGTAGATTATTTTTTAATATGTATAATAATTTATCATGTTTTAAATTTTTTCTTTTTACCGTAATCCATTCATGTAATATGGTTTAAGAATATCAGATTCATATTGATAGAGAAAAAAAAAAAAACTTAATGTTTGCCCCGAACTAAAATATATTAAAATACTATATATGGTGAATTTGTTCCAAAAACTTTATTTCTATTGTAATGTTTGTAACGTTTGCTGAGAGTTATCTCCCTTGCTTTGGCAATTAAAGACTCAAATGTGAAAACCTGTTATTATTAATAAGGACTTA